CGTATTGTGTTGTTGGAAATGGCAGCCAAAATCCACATTTCTTGTTCGTTTAGCCACAGAGCTAGCGATTCCCGAAACTCATCATCTTCCTCTTATTCTTCGTTGCTTGCTTTTCCTCAATTCCTCTCCCCACAATCTCCTAAAGTCTTCAAGCTTCACGCCAAATTAGGTACTCTTCTCTATTTTTTTGAATCAGAATTTTTCCCGTTTTTGTAGATAATTTTTTCTTGTTTAATTTCTGGTCTTGCTTAAGGTGGAGGAGATGGAGAAGTGAAGAAGAAGAAATTCATAACCAAAGAGGAAGAACCAGAACAGTTCAGTTTTTTTTACTCACCATCTTTTAATTTTCTATAACGAAATCTATGTTCAACTCCTGACCATGTTCGATCGAAACTTATTTGGTTTTGTTGTGGTTTACAAGTGTTTATTGGTTCCCGCATTTTGATTGATCCAAACAGAATCATGTGTTGTTAGACTATTTCGTTTCAAAATTCAAATCCTGGCCATGTTTGATTGTTTTTGTGTTTATAGATTAGTGGAATTTAATTGATTTGGAAATTCAAACAAGTGTTGTTGGTTTAAGTGATTAAAGAAAAAGGATATATTACAATGTAGGTATTGGCAAAGCGCTGGAGAAAGAGAAGGTGAGAATCCGATGAAGACGCCTCTCCCTTACATTATCATCTTCGGTATGTCAACTCCATTCGTCATCTTAGCCGTTGCTTTCGCCAATGGCTGGATCAAAGTTCCCATTCGCTGAGCCTTTCTTCTTCCCTTGTTTAAGGCTCTCTCAGTACATGTAATTATATGAGGCTAAAAACATCTTCTTCTTCTTCGGCTGTAAAAAGAGAGAATGCTATTACATTATATGTTGCATCTTTTGTTTTGCTTACCCTTAAGCCATCCACATTTTCTCTATCACAAGTTTCGAAACGGACTATTATACTAGCACTAGGTCAGTTGAGTTACCTCAGAAACGACTTATTTATGTTACAGATTTCTATTATAGCTACATGATACAAGTATTGTATCATCTAGTCCTATGAGTTCTTTATGAAACGAAACTTGAAGCTCGTTTTGGAGTATAAATATGTCTTGCACAAACAGATGTTGATCAGCTACTGAGATACTCGTATTGTGCTTTCAAGTGATTTTTCCAACATTCAACTAAACCCTAAACCTATGGGTGAAGACTTCTCATTCACCCTTTCCCAATTAGCCAATAAC